TTTTTTTTCAAACAAAACACTTTAACAAAAATCTACCAAAATGAAAAAAATCTACCTTTTTACCAACCCAAATTTTTTCTACCAATTTACCGAAGTGGCAACCCTGCACACAGACCCAACCGCATGGTTGCGCTTTCTTCTTTAGCTCCCACGCAGAGCTAAACGCTAGTGCTAGCCGTAGTCCGGCTATTATCTCACTCTTCACATTAGTTTACGTGTATGTATGTATACATAAGGTTTTCGCTCCCTCTTGGAGAGACAGCAAGCGAAAACATTTATGTATATTCGTAGAAAGTAGCATGTGATATCTACTCAAACGCTTTTGTAGCATGCGATAATTTTTATTGATGGTTGTGGTCTTTGCTAGGTGTAAACACTAGCCAAGTGCAGTGATGCGCGTATTTTGTAGGATGGTATGACTAAGGATGAGCGCGGGACTAAATATTCAATCCCGATCTCGCAGGTTCCGATATACATATATCACTAAATAAAGTTCAACTATTTTTAAATAATATCTATACTTATATTGTGGCGGGCCGCTGGAAAAAAAATTTCAACAAGCATAAGCTAATATTTAATAATTTTTTTTTTAAATTAATGTTTATTATTTTTTGTATAAAATTATTATTTTTGTATAATTATTATTTAATTATTTTTTTTTAAATTAATATTTATTATTTTTTGTATAAAATATTCGATCACTATCAATAAATGGTTCTCTTAGTGTAAGCCCTGAGAAAACTGGTCTTAGGTTTTTTACAAATAAAACACAATTTTCCTGATTTTACTAAACCAACGTTCCGAGGAACGGAGGCGTATCTGTGAAATACCGCCCAGTTATTTTGGATCCCAAACTTAACTGGAAGCCAAACATTGAGGAGCATGCAAGGAAGGCCCCGGTGACTATGTATGCAGTCAAGAGTATGTTGGGCAACAGACGCGATTCGAAACCGAGAATTCTGCACTGTATATACTCAGCTATAGTCCGACCCATACTCTCTTATGGGACGCTGGGCTGGTCAGCCCGTACTAAGGATTACCTAGCAGAAATCAAAGGTCAGCAGCCGCTGGCGTAATAGGTGCAATGCAAACCTGTCCGATAAAGAAATAAATAAATAACATGCGCAGTAAGGGTTCGCGCTGACTAAATTTTGCAGTTTTTCTAAGTCTACTTGCTCGCCTGTTGCCTGTAAAATAATTTGTCTATCCAGTAGCTCGTTTCTGTAACAATTCTCTACCAAGGCAAATTCATATATGAATTCGCCGCCTTGTTCTCTACTGCTAATGAGTAGTAGAGAATGACGTATATTCTCTACCAGTAGAGAAATAATCGGTAGAGAAGAGTTACAGAAACGAGCTACAGTTCTTTATGACAAACAAGGGCGATGCTTTGATTAAGAATTACTGATATACATTTAGCTCCATAGTTTGGTAGGCGATCCTTCCTGTTTCCGAAATACTCATGTAGAAAAGATCCTCTTGTGTGGCCGGCAGATCCCTTCCAGCCAGTGCAACTAGCAAGAGGTCTAGGTCTACCAAGATTCCTGCGGCCTTTTCGGTAATGCAGTTTCATTCAATTTCTCTTGAGAACGTGGTAGGAAAAAAAGAACTTGGCGATGCTCACTACTGCCATCTCCTAATGCCTCCTCGACGAAAAATAGTGGTGCACGCAAGGGTACTTTCCCTCCCGCAAAAAATCATAGCATGGCAGTAGCTTGTGTGGCATTGACCAGTTCCAGTTTTACATCGATTACACGAAGCCAGCGGTGGACGAAGGCGAATACAGTAGGACCGATCTCTGAAGTCCCGTTATCCTTGTCTTAAACCAAGGTACAAGTGTTGATTGTGGCAAAACTGCAACTGCCATACATACCTTCGCAAAACCACGCTTTCTACCTACCCTACGAAAACTTTGACTACGTTTGGACCTGACCAAAAGCTCTCCACTGCGTTATGAGAGCTGGGGCACGGCCCACTTACAGTGAGGCTGTAAAAGGCTTGCGTTTCGACAGACGATCACTGCGGAAATGAAACGGAATGAAAGCCAATAACTGTGAGTATGAGGAGAGGGAGATGGAACCACTGTGGGGATATGAATGTAAAAGTTCATTAAAAAAAAGAATTAAAAGTTAAAAATTACACTTAGTTTAATTACCTAGTAGATAGTGTATATACGTATATAATTGTCCTTGGATCATTGTTATTGATATGAAGCTTACCTGTAAAGAAAAGAGAAATATATTAGAAAATACTTATGTTAATAAAGTACGTTGTGCGCGCCTAAATTGCATATTAGGGTGGTCCCTAAAATATCAACATTTAAATTTTGTAGGGAACACTCCTTTATTTTATTCTACGCACAAAATAATGATATCGACGAAAATTTCAAAATTTTTAAAAACAGTTTAGGGGTCGCTACCAAGGTTTGAAAAAATTTAATTATTTTTAATCGCAAAAATTCGTCAAAATTTGGACTTAAAAGCTGATAAATGTTACATATTATTTAAACTTATTCATGTAAAATCATAATCTCGCTGAATTATTGCTAACCAAAGTCAAAATTTTGCCAATTTTTGTTACTTATTTTAATTTGAATTTTTTTCAACCCCTTGTAGCGACCTCTAAATAAATTTTTTGGAATTTTTGAATTTCTGGTGGATGTCTTTATTTTGTACGTGGAAAAAGTTATAATGTTATCTTTTAAGGCCCACCCTAATGTACTTATGTTTCCTTAATGTGTAGGACATATTATTGAGAAAATCGTGGTGTCCAAAAAATGTACAAAAATCAACTAATTAAGAGACAAAAAATTTTAATTAAAAAATTTTTAGTAAAGGCTTGCATACATCTTTATTATACTGAATCTTTTTCTCGCCATATATTTTTTTATTCGCATTACATTTTAATCACACAATTTACATTAATGAGCATTTTCACAGAGTATTTATGACAACAGAATCATGTGTAATCAAATGCTTTGCACGAGCGCCGTGATGACTACATTGCGTTAAATTGGCATGTGATAACCTTAAACTGTGATTTAACTATGCCGCGATTCATCAGCTAAATGCGGCCACACGCTGGCATGAAGCCTAGCTACGTACATAGAGTGATAAAGCGATACAATTGATGAAACACTGGGAGGAATACATATAAGACTTATGTACATAAAAATACGTATTTATGTGAGTACACGTAAGAATGTAATTAAAATTATCTGATGATGAGCAGCCTGGCACAACGCCATTCAAGTTGTTAAATAATTAAAAAATCGAGTAAAACTTTGAAAGCACCGTAAAGAGTCATACTAAAAAGGGGAAGTGTAAAGTTAGCATACGTATGTATAAAGAGAGATTACAGTAATATAAAAAGTATTACATACAGCAAAGGGGTAAGTAAATAATTTGATATAGCAATGGCGTCTGATAGTGATAAGCGGCTCTTGGTGATTAAATATTTATACAACACTAGATGTTTATATCTATGAATGTACTATGTACGCAGTCCCTGTGGGGAAAATCTCTAGTTCTGAACTGGTGCGCCTGTAGTACGTTTAGACCCTGCACTGCTTCACGATAAATCTCTTTTGCATACAAACAACTGGCGAATTTAACATGGCGATGTCCTAGGAAGTGTCAATTGCCCCCGCTGCATCCCTTTTTCGATAGTTCCGAACTAGTTCTAAATTCTATAGTTCCGAACCAGTTTTAAAATCGCCAGACGAAAGAAAAAAGTATCATGATTTTTCAATCTTTTCTGTTCTTCCGTGTGCGATTTTACATTATTTTCAAAGAAACGTTTTTTCAATTTCAAATTAAATTTGTTTGAATGATTGTAAGAAATGTACGTTTACATACCTTTGGCTGTAGCTGACTTTGCAGAGCTGCTCGCTCTTATTGGTTAGATTCCAGACGGCCCCAAGATGTTAATATGTGAACACAAAGTTTTGTTTTGTATTACCAAACTATGAAATAGCATCTGCGAAGTGCAGAATGAAAGTGCATTTGAACGAAAAAGCCGCCAAACACATATCTATGTATATTAAACAAGCCCCCCGCTGCATTACTTTTTCGATAGTTTCGAACTAGTTCTAAATTCGACAGATAAGATCTAGTTCGTTCTGCGTGACTTTTTCTATAATTCCAAACCAGTTCTAAATTCGTCACTTTAGATATAGATTTCTAATGAAAAAAGAGAAATAAAATAGTTTTTTTAAGAGTCCCACATTTCGCTGATTTTGAACTGGTGCGGATTTACTTACTATCGGACTGGTTCGTTTTTGGCGATAAAGATCTTGTACGGAACTAGAAATTTTATTCACCAGTCCGCGGTTTCCCTGCAGGGGTTATATAGAAGCAAGTATGTATGTGTAACTAGCGCGCAGGAAAACTGTAATCACCCATCAAGCATTAAAAGC